GCAAAAGTAGGTTTACAGTTGTTCACATGGAAAATAACACAATAATTAATAAGCAATCACACAAGAATAAAGTTTGTGTTAATCGTACTCACAATAGTAAATCTACTGTGCCCCACCCTGTATATGTGATAAGGGACTTGCATCTAGAATACATAAAGAATTCTCACATCCCAATAATTAAAAGACAAATAAACCAATAAAAAACGTCCAAAGGATCTTACAAACATTTCCCCAAAGATATACAAATGCTCATAAGCAGGTGAAAAGATGCTCAACATCGTCAGTCATTACAAAAACACAAATCATGAGATACCATTTCACACCCACCAGGATGGGTACAAGCAGAAAGACAGACAGTACGAGTGCAGACGAGGCTGCGGAGGAACCCGAGGTACTGTGCATTGCCTGCGGGACTGTGGACTCCTTGGTATTCGGCTCCTTGGAAAACTTGTAAGCACAGACTTGCCAAGTAATCCAGTAAATTTTACTCTTAGTATGTACTCAAGAGAAATAAACACGTAGGTCCACACAAAAACTTGTACACAAACGTACACAGCAGCATTATTCACAAAAGCAGAAGGTGAGAAGAACTCAAATGTCAATCAGCTGATGAGTGGATACACAAAATATGATATAGCCATACAATGGAACACTATGCGTAAGTTTAAAAAGGAAGTACTGGTACATGCTACTGCATGGATGGATCTTGAAAACACTGTGTTCAGTGCAAGAAGCCGGTCATAAAAGAACACATGTTGTAAAATCCCACCACATTATACTGTCCCCAGGCAAATGCATGGAGAAAGTAGACCTAGTGGTTGTACAGGGTTGAGGATGGGTGGTGGGAACGTGGAGTGACTGATATAAATGGGCAAGACATTTCTTTTTAAAGCCATGGAAATGTTCTAAAATCAGATTGTGGTGATGGTTGTATAACTCTTTAAATATACTAAAATTCATTGAATTGTGCACTTAAAACAAGTAGATTCTATGTTATGTAAATTATATGTCAAAAAGAGTTGTTTAACAGAACCGATACTGTGACTTCCACCGTGCTCTCTCTCCCACCACTTGCTCTGGGCAGCCAGCTGTTAAAATAGGAGGACATTCAAGGAGTCCTATCGGGAGGTCCACTTGGCAAGGAACCAGAGCACCCTGCCGAGCACATGGGAGTGAGCTGTCTTAGAAGGAGAACCTCCAGCCCCTTCACATGTCTTCAGGGGACTTCAGTCCTGGCAAACATCTGGACCACAACCTCATGAGAGACCCTGAGTCAGAACTACCAAGTGAAGCAACTCCTACAGCCCTGATCCACTGAAATGACGTTGCTGTCCAAGCCACTGAATTCTCGGGTGAGTTGTTACACAACAGATAACCCCCTTCCTTGGCCCTCTTCTCAGGGTTAGGCTCTCTCTACTAATGATAGACACCCAAGGACATGTTTTCCCAGCAACCCCTCCACTTCTAAGAGTTCAGTTTCTCCCCCCTCCACGTTTACTGTCGTAGCCGTCATGTTAGTAGAACACGATCCCATTCCCTGGCCTTGGCTGAATGATCCAAAAGAGGGCACCTGACGAGAGCCAGGCCAACAGGGTCCATCCCCGAGATTTTTAATATCTGAAGCTAAGTAAAAGGCGGCGTCTCTCTGGTATCTGAAGCTGTGAGATGTAAAACTTGGGGTCTGTCAGCAGCCATGTGTTTCCCACGTGGGAAAAGTTGGACAGCAGTGGAGAAGAATAAAGTTCTCACAGAGAGACAAAGATTCAGGATGGAGGCAGTATATGAGTTTGTGGTTCCAGTGGGAACCCCGCCCTTTCAATGGCAAGACCTTATCTGTCTCACAACCCCAGCATCCAAAACAGCACTCAATGCTAAGAGGTAATGAAATACTTACCGAATAAATGAGCGGATACGAAAACCCACAACCCTTCCAATAATACTCTCTTCTTTTTGTTGCTATTGTGCCACAGAGTTAAATTTGATTATTTGAAGCCTAGAAGTCCTAACCTCTTCTTTGCAACTTTTATACTCTGTATAATCTTTTATTATTAAACTTATGATAATGTAGCCTAATACATTACTGGTTTAGATGGCCTCATTTCCTACTATCAGAAAGCAAAACATTTTCTTAGTCATTTTTGGTCTTATCAGTATCATCTTGAAAACAAGGTGCTCGAGAAACGTATGTTTAACTGGTCTAATCAATTCTTTATTTTTCATTTTTCAGCTTTTATAGTCACTCTCATCAACTTATCAACCACCTAATATCCCAGGTACAGGGAACACAATAAATTGTTGAACCTGATCATGAATTTTTATCCATTCAATGAATTAATTCAACAAATATGTGAATACTAATGTGCCAGGGGCTGAAAATGGGAAAGGTATATGGTCAAGGAACAAGGACTCAAGGACCTTACAGTATAGCACAGGCAAGCAAGTTGACTATACAGCATTTGTGTTCAATGTTATTGAAGAGCTATGCACAGGCTGCTAAACAGCAGCAGGGGTTATGAGGATTTCACACTCCAGAAGACGTGTACAGAAAAAGACAACAGCCTGACAATGTGGCACAGCCTGAGTACCACATGAATGATCTGTTTCCCAAGTTACACTGAATTAATTCACACGCTTTAAGAAAACATAACTGTTATGGAGTGATTTTCAGATCTACACTCAGCCAACATCTCCTGAGTGCTTAGTATGTGCCAAGCAACCTGCTTAGCACTCCTCCAAAGGGAACGTACTAAATTTTCACATTTTCTAGATGAGAGAAGTTAGTGTAAAGAGTGAAATGACTTGCCCAAGGCTACACAGCTAGTAAGTGGCAGAGGGGAGATACAGAACGAAGTCCTCCAATTCCATGTCCAGGTAGCTGTGCTACTTCAGTGCACACAACTGGAACAATTTCCCTGTCCATACATGTGACTTTTATTGCCTTTTCATTCATCCTGCAGCATGCAACACAGTGTTGGGGCACAAAGGAGCAATCACCAAATGCTGGCTTGGTATGGCTATATGCTAGACCAAATTTTGGGAAGCAAAGGACTGCTGTCAGATCAGATAACTGTGGTGCCTATTATAGCATCATGTGCCGACAGAAGCACAGTTGGCAGCAGATGAGTGAATTTTTCAAGTTATATTTTAACTATTTTTGACCACTATATCTGGTCAGTTCCAGTGTTCAGCAATAAATCAAAATGACCGTTCATTTCCTTTGACAGTTAACAGTACTAATGAATTCAGTATAATCTCACCACCCATCAGAAAAAAATTCTGAAATGCAAACTTGAAGCTGATGATTCACACAGCACAGAAAGGGAAATAAAGCAGTACTCATTGTTTTCTACAAAACTAGCATTGTTTCAAAACCCAGAAACCAAGCAGTAGGTTGACTACTAATAACAAGTAAGTTGCTCTTTGGTCATTTAGCAAAAAGCTGCTTGTTGGACCATGGTCAGTGGCTGAGGAGCACATGACTTTCAGTAGCTTTTGCTGTACAGAACAATCCTACACACAAAAATCAGTAAATTGTTATGTAAGGTAAGAAAAAGAAATTCAGACTCTCCACACCAGAAAGCACCTGACACTGAGCCTGGCACAAATGAGGTATTAATACTGAGTAAATGCTTACTAAGTAAAGAATTTAATGGCCCTTTGAAAACCTCAGTTGTCTATTAAATCAAGAGGAAAAAAAAACATCCAACCAACCAAGACTACACAGGTTATGTTAGGAACTCAAAAAGATAATGGAGTAACTGGCTCACGATACATAAATTCACAATGACCAAAACCAAAAAACCACCAATGCTTAAAAATGTTGAAATAAGTAAGCATGCATTTGACACCCTCTTAAACTAAGTCACGGCCCCGGCACTTAGTGGAACACTAACTGGCAATCAAATTAGAAATAACAAAAACTAAAAGAACCATGACAGATCTAACTTTAAAATCTGTTCAAAGCAGTAACAAGGTTTACTAGGCATACAACTGAAACCTGCTGTATAAACTCTGCCCACACCATAAAAGCATACCCCAATATGCCGACGAAGTTGAATCAAAAACCTTTATAAACGTTTACAAGAACATTCAATACTAATAACAACCTACTAAAGTAGGAGCTGGTCAGAAGTGAAAAAGAATCTCTAATACGAGACTGGGCTCCACAAATATAAACTTAAACGATTAGTCCAAATAAGCGTTTTATGAAATGAACAAGCCAGACTCACACGACGAATAAAGTAATTTGACTTGGGACAGCTCCAGAGATCTCAAACATTAGAACATCAACGCTTCAGAAGGCTAGTGAATGAGTCTCTTTTACTTCGAGCTTTAAATGTACAGAACCTTCGTTTCAAGGGACTTTTGAAAGAAATTCAAGGCCAAGGACAGCATTTCGTGGTAATTGAAAATAAAAGCACTCAGTCCCGGTAGCCCGCGATCCCCATTTATCTCACTGGAGACTGCACTTAGGAGAGTCCACGGGACAGGCACCCTTTTATATTTTGTACAGGACCCCAGCACCTTAGAGGACGATTCCACAAATCCCCACCAGGACCACCTCTAGGGAAGCGGAGGGGTGGAGATGCAAGTTACGCATCGTTCATCCCACACTGAGAAAGGCGCACCTTTTACCCCAAACAGGATGCAGTGACAGATGTGTCACCTGTGCGGGAAAGGGGCCCGAAGACCTCCTTGCAGACAAGTGCCAACACGAGGCTTTCTGCTGCCCCAAGGGCCCCATCGCTCAGTCCCAGTCCCAGCCGCTCAATCCCCAGCTCTGGAAAACTTTCCGCCAGTTCCCTGGCTGCATACCCCCACCTCCCAGGACCCCCTGGCTCCAGCCCCGCCCTCAAGGCCCCGCCCTCAAAGCCCCGCCCCGGGTCCGCCCCCCCGCGCCCACTGTCCGGCCCAGCGCCCCTGGCCCTCACGGACACCCGCGTGCCCTCGGGGGCGCGCCCCCCGTGCCGGCCCAGCCGGCAGAGGGCGGGGTCGCTCACCCGTGCGCAGCTCATGCTTGACGGTAAGGAGCTGCTCCTCCACGGCGCTGCCTTCCCCGCTGGTCCCTACGGCGCCACCGCCACTGCCGCCGCCACTGCAGCCGCTGCTGCCCTTCTCCTCCATCTTCTCCCTTTCCGATCCTGCGGGATTCCCCGAGGGGACCCGAGAGGCAGGCGACGCTCGGGCCCTCACAGCTCCCGCTGCAGCCCCAAGAGCCGGCGTGCGGCAGCGCCAGAACTCAGACGCAGACAAGAGTCTCTTTCCCGCTCTGACCGCACTGCACGCTCCTCCGCCTTCCTCCTCCCCCCCCCCCCACTCCAGCGGGCACCGCTAGTACCACTCAACCAAACTGCCCCTTGCTCTACCGCCTCCTCCCTCCAGCCGCTCCGCCTACCGCCAGCAAGGTACCAGAGCCATTTGAGCCGCCATCGCTTATTGGGCACAAGGCGCGCGCATCTATCAGTGCCGGATCCCATTTGGCAATCCGTTCTGACGCTTTGAAGGCTGCCCCGCCCCTCTCCTCAAATTGTTGTTGCTTGGCGGGGAGGCAGGAGAGGGAGGAGCGCGACTACTCCGATTGGAGAGATTCGAGGTTCTGCTCCGCCTATTTCCTCTGGTGCGCACGCGCAGTCAGGACCTTCTCTCCTAGACCTCCCCAGAACGGTCACGCCCCTAGTCCCCCCGCTTCAGTCTGTTAGTAAACAGTGTCTAGTAGTTGGGAAGTGCTCGAGGTCTGTGATTGGCTATTGCTGAAAGAGGCAGGAGGGCTGATTGGAACGTTTGGTCCGCCAATCACCATAGACAGATGAGGGACTTGGAGGGAAACACTTATCACGCACGTGTTTTCAGGACAAACCTGAGGGCCTTAGGTAGAGATACATGGTTGTGTGATCAGCTGGAAGACAATGTGTGCTAAAAAGGAGTTACTTGCACTAGTAAGCCTTTAACAAGTTAAGTTTGTGCTTAAATACAGGTAGTTCTTAGCAAAAATTCGCAATCCCAGCTCTCGATGAGGACTTGAAAAGGACAGGCATTTCCGCTTTTATATAAGACTCATCCTAGACACCAAAAGGACACAGAGATGGAATACTACCTCTGCCCATAAACAGCTTTCAGTAGAACATGAGGAAAACACATTCTGTGTATATACACAGAAAACTATAAATCAGAATTTGAAATTAAAATCATACAAACTGCTAGAGAATCGCACAGATGGCACAATTATTCTCAGTAAAGGAGCTGGGGAAAGCTTTTTAGGGCAAGGAGGCATTTGAGATAACCAATTTATAAGCTGGGTAAGATGGAAATACAAGCAGATACTTCATACAAAGATGGTAACTGGGACAGTAAACCTGGAGGTAAAGAAGGCAAGAGTGGGTTAAGTGATAGATAAGGCTGATGGAGTATGATGTAAGAGGTACAGCTGAAAAGGTGAGGTGTGGTAAAACAACGGAGAACCTTGACTAACTACCCTGCTAAGCAGTGCAGGTTTTATTTAGTGCAGGAAGGGGGAGCCTCAAACAGTCGTTACAACATCAAAGCTGTTCTCTTGGAAATTATTGAGAATGGACTGAAGGGCAGAGGAGGAGAAAGATAACGGTAAAAATACTGTTCCAAGGATAGAATTTATGGGGGCCTAATTTCTGGCAGTGGGTATGAACATGGGGAAAATAAGAGGATTAAAGATGGACACTTGGACATAATTCACATAGAAACAGACTTTTAAAGTAAGTATGGATTCGATCAGAAGTCAGCAAAAATTTTCTGCAAAGGGCCAAGTCATAAATATTTTGGGCTTTGCTAACCATGTGACCTCTTTCACAACTACTCAACTCTACTATATTGAAAGCTGCAAGAAAGCTAGTGGATATGGCTGTGTTCCAATAAAGCTATTTATGGACATTGAAATTACATTTCACATAATTTTCACGTGTCATAATATATTCTTATCCTTTGCAACCATTTAAAAATATAAAAACCATTCTTAGCTCTTGGGTCATTAAAAAAAAAAAGCAGACAGTAGACCAGATTTGGCCTGCAGGCCATAGTTTGTAGACTTGTGGGTTACACTGCCACAGAAGATAAAGCAGGGAAGCCCCTGCAACCCCTTCACGTTGCCCTCAGCTCCCTGGGCTTACCTACCTGGAACATTTATCTCACTACACTAGCAATTTTCCACTTTTTCATCTCACATAAACTAAGTACTAAAATTCTGCAGCACACCAAAAAAAAATTTTTTGCCGATCTGACCAGAAAAAAAAATAAGTATACTTTTGATGCATTCATCCTGAATGGCTATTGTTGTGCTAGCTGTCGTCATTTTTTAAATTTGACAATCAAAGGAAAAAGAGATTATTGCCCATGACTAAACAGTGAGGCGCTGCATGTTCTAAAACTTCTTAGGTCATACATGACCTTAGTGTGCCTCTTAGGATGCAACATGCGCCTGCCATGGGGCACCGGGTGAAACTCAACGCACTACACCATAAGCGCCTACTTATTCATCTTTCTCCTCCACAAGTAGTGCATTATATGTAGCCAGGGAATAACTGTGCAATTGTTTGTTGATTCACTCAATCACTTTTACACCAGTTATATACCAACTACTGTGGTAGTTTCCAAAGGCACAGTGGGAACAAAACATGCAATCCTCGCATGCATAGAGCCTAAAGTCGAAACAGAAATAAATCTTAAGTCATTACACAAAGAAATGTTAGCTTTCCATTGTGATCACGCCATAAAGGAAAATTATAGGGTGCAAAAGTAGAATCTATCAGGGGGCCTAATTTAGGTCAGAGGAGCTTAAAGGTCTTTATAAGGAAGTACTAGTTAAACTGATTCTTAAAGATGAGTAGTCTTTCATCAGGATGTGGCAGAGACTGGTCCGATGCTCACCAATCTCATTTCCTCTTCCTGGACACACAGGAGAAGTACAGTTTTTTTTTGTTGTTTTTTTTTTTTTCCTTTGCAGTTAGGCTAGGGTCATATGACTGTGATCTGGGCAATGGGTAAGGGCAGATGTGATATGTGCCATTTGCAGGCCTGGCAGAGAAAACCCCATGGATAATCCCTCACACTCTTTTCTCTTTCCATGGCACTACAAAGACCACATTTTGAATATAGGGGTGCCACAATTTAGAAGAACCATGAGCCCCTGGGTCTCCACTTGGAGAAGAGCCATGCTGACCGACATCAGACTGTCATGTGAGCAATAAATAAATCTCATTAGGCATAAGCTACTGTGATGTTGGGGTTGTTTGCTACGAAAACATAGTCTAGCCTACCTTGATGATTTTGCAAGTGAATTGCTGAGGAAAGAAACTTCTAGAAACATGCAGATGCAAAGTACTGAGACAGGCAAAGAGCCTATTGCATTGTAGGGATTGAGAAGCAACCAGTAGGGTCATAACACAGAAAGCAAGAGATGAGGTGAGGGAGATACCCTGTCACAAAGTGTGTGGTAGGATTTATATTTGGGGGGATTTTCCCATTTTCCCTGTGTGAAGTCAAAAGCAATGGAAGAAATTTAAACAAGGAAATGATATGATTGGGGTAGTGCTTTCCAAAGGCCACTGTGGTTGGTGTTTACAGACTGGACTGGAGGGAGCAAGAGGGGATACAGGGAGACCAGTGAGGAGGTTATCACTGTCGTCTAGGCAAAAGATGATGGCAGGTGTAGTAGATATGGAAAGAAATAGAATGTTTCTAGATATATATTTTGGACTTCATGAAGTATGGGATATACTGGATGAGGGATAAAGAACTGCTTGAAAAAATAACAAGTTTCTAGCATGAAGAACTAGGTGGAGGGAAAAGGATGGTGGTACCATTTAAAGAGATGGGTGAATTAAAGAAAAAGTATGTATTAGAGAGCGATTCAAGAGTTTAATTTCTAAATATCCAATGCCAATATTAAGTAGCTATATGGGTATATGAATCTGCAGAACAGCAGAGGGGTCTAGGGTAGAGATATAACTTTAGGAATCATTGGCATATAGAGGGTATTTGAGGCCAGAAGTGTGAATAAGATTACCTGGGAAGAGAATGAGCAGAGGAGCTCAGGACAGAAGTCTAAGAAATTTCAACACTGAGATGTTGGAATGAAGAGGTGGAGCTGAAGACGTAAGAGGGGAAACCTGAAGAGTTTTTTTATGTTGGAAGCCAAAGTGTTTCAAGAAGGAGGGAGTGCTCAGCTATGTCACATGCCCTGAGAGGTCACAGAAGTTGAGGTTTGGAAAGATCCCATGTATTTGCCAACTTGGGTGCCACTGGGGACAATGTCTAAGATGGTTTTTGTAGAGCAAATGGGAAGTGGAAGAGAAGCGGTGTGTGTGGACATCCTTTTCAAGGAGTTTTTCTCTGAAGGAAAATGGAAAAGGAAGGCCTGTAGGGACCCAGGGAGTTTTTTACTTTTCATTCTCAAGTGATTTTAAAATTGCAGAAGAGTTTCAAAAACAGTACAGAATTTCCACATGTCCTCCACTGAGCTTCCTCTAATATTATGTTCAATCATTGAAAACTGAGAAATTAACATTAGTATGACATTATTAAATAAACTTTAGACTCTAAAGATTTCACCATTTTTTTCTGCAAAAATAGTTTTTATATTTTAAAATGGTGGAAAAATTAAAAGAAGAAGAGTGTACTGCAACACATGAAATTTAAATTTCAATGTCCATAAGGTTTTATGGGAATGGACACAGGTTCTCTCTCTGTGCCAGGATGCAATGCAGGATCCTACACCACATTTAGTTGTCATGGCTCCTTAGTCTCTTCCAATGTGTAAGAGTTCCTTAGTCTTCCCCTGCTTTCATGACCTGCACTCTTTTGAAAGGTCCTGGTCAAGTATTTCGTAGAATGCCGTTCAATTTGGGTTTGTCTGATGTTTTCTTATGATTAAGTTGGAATGACCATTTTTGGCAAGAATACCACAGAGGTGATGGGCTTTTCATCAACTCATCATCTCAGGGTTACAAGTCTATATTCTTACTTCTTATGATGTTCACCTTGAACACTTGGTTAAGGTGGCCTTTGCCATCTTTCTCTACTTTATTATTGTTCCCATTATAATTAATAAATACTGAGAGGCCTTTGAGATACATTTAGTATGCAAATGTACTTAAACTTTCACCCAGTGATTTTAGCATCCATTGGTGGATCTTGCCAATGGCAGTTATGACTGTGATATCTTAATGGGTATGTCCTATTTGATTGTGTTTTTTTTTTTAATGAGAAATACTGGCACACATTTGAATGGTGATGGGATGGATAGATGGTGAAGAGGTTGGAGAACTAATAAGGAGAATC